GTACTCTTGGCTGGAGGACCGGCGTTGAGTAGGTGAGCCGGCTCGGCCGTGGGCCCAGCGCTGACCCTGCCGGAGGGGCCGCCCCAGGAGCGCCAGGCAGGCACCCCAGGGTCAGGCAGCGCCCACCCCACCCAGGCCCCCGGGTCACCCCAGGCCCCCCGGTCCTAGTCCACCCCGACCACACCTGTCTGTGGTCCTGAGCCCTGACGCCCCTGGGCGCAGCTGGCTGATTCCTGGTAGCAGAGGAACTGGGAGAGTGTTTTTCAGAAAGTCGCTTTATGCTTAGCGAACTTACTCTGATTTTCTCTACTGTTACTGTGTCTTGTTACATTTTATGTGGTTTTAAAAGTCGTCTCATCCTTTGTTAAACGGGGCGTGAGTGAAATGACATTTGGCTTTCATAGTCAGGCTGGGACCTGCTGGAGCCCCCACGTGTCCTGTCGCCCTCACCCGCAGCAGAGCCCGCTGCGCCCTCCCCACCCACCTCGGGGCCCAGCAGACGCGGCCCCCCCCCACCTCTGGTGACGTTATTGGCCCCACTTTGCAGCAGAGAAGGAAACAGGCCCTGCGAGTTAAGGTTATTAACCGGAAAGCTCGTGGCTGTGGGAGAGCCAGGCTCTGAACCCAGAAATGCAAGAGCAGTGGCTGGGGGAGGGGAGGCCCTGGAAGAGGCCTCCTGGGGGGAAGCCAAGCTCTGGTTGGGGTGGACTCCGGTGTGGGGAGGGCGGGGCTGGTGGCCCGGCTGCGTCAGGTAGACCCTTGATGCTGCTGTGAGGCCTGGACTGCAGGCCAGCGCAGGACGGAGAGGGGCGCCGGGCACGGACGCTGCGGCCACCGTCCGCCGTCCTGCTTTTAACTCGTCCATTCCACGGCAGCTACCTGCTTCGTAACCAGTCACCCCAAACCGGAGTGCTCAAAGCCCAAGACCCGTCGTGCCACGGCCTCCGTGGTGAGGGGGGGCCGGGCTCGGGCTCTCACGACGTCGGGGGCCTGAGCCGCGAAGGGGCCTCCTCCACTCGCCCGAGGGGGTGTCGGCCCGGTCTCACTGCCCCGTGGCTTCCCCGTGGCAGCTCCCTCACCTGGGTGTGAGCAGTGTGAGGTCACGGTCCCCCGGGACTGGCTCTCAGGTGACACCGCTGCTTCAGCCACGTCCTGTCTGCTAGAAGCAGGTTGCGGGGTCCAGCCTCCACCCAGGGGCACCAGCCTACAAAGGGGGTGAGGACAGGAGGCCGGGCTGCTGTGGCCTGCCCAGACTCGTCCCATCGCAAACTCCCCTCCCCAAACACACCAGAGGGCTGTGGCCTGGCCCCTCCCACCCCGTTCCTCCCCCTTCATCCCCGGCCTCCAGGTGTGGTGGGGGACCAGCAGCATCTGGAGGCTGGATGGAAATGCGAGTTCTCGGGCCCCACCCCAGGCCAAGAGGTGTGAGGTGGGCCCACCGCGTGTGCTGCAAGCCCTCCCTGTGCCCCGGCGGTGGTGATAGGTCGGGGACCACGTCAAGGCCTCTGCCGGCGGCTGCTGGTCTGACTGCCCTTTCCCACCTGGGCTCATGGGCCGTGGCAGGGCAGATAGTGTCTGCCAGGTGGTCTGTCCTGGAGGTCATGCTGTAGAGGGGGTGGCCCTCTCCAGCGTCCAGGAGCTCGTGCCTCCCCAGAGTCAGGTGTCTGGACAGCGGGGTGTTGGCGAAGAAGCCTGAAGCCAGGTCGGAGCTGGGGGCAGGCTTGTGAGGACGCCCTCTCCCAGGGCGAAGGCTCAGATGCTCCTCTCCCCCTGGTCCGTCCACTCACGGTCCTTCAGCAAATATGCAGACGATCGCCGTGAACTAGTCAGTCACTGCGTGGTCTATAGGGAGCCAGGAGGTGGACATCTGCCCGCCAGGGCCTCACTGTCTGGTAACGCGCATGCACGTGCGCACGCGTGCACACACGGTGTACACGACAAATCAAGTCTCACCTCGCCAGCGATTCACGGGGAGCGTTCAAGGGAATTCTGTACCTTTTAAAGAAACACAAATTCCCACGGCAACACCGAGATTGATTTCACAGCAACTTGGAGCTGAAAAGCGTGGAGAGCCTATGGCAGGAGCCGTCCGGGAGAGGCAGCCCGAGGGCCACAGCCCAGGCGCCTGCGGGGGAGACCCAAACCCAGGCGAAGCCTGGCGCTGGGGCCGGGGCCTCATCCGCGGTCCCCGCTCTCGCCCTCGCAGATGGGAAGATTCCTGGGGGAGGTGGACGGCGCCCTCGTGACGCAGCTGCTCGGCATGGGGGTGTTCAGCCAGTAAGTGGGCAGCCCCCCTGGGCTGAGTACACCCAGAAGAGGCAAGATGGGATGCTCAGGGGTCCAGGCCGACCTTGGATCCTGACCTCAGACCCACAGTGAGCCCCAAACGGCTCCAAAAGCAGCCTTTCTGCGGCCTGGAACTTCCCTGGGGTGGGAGGGGGGCTGAGGTCATGTGACCCCTAAAAGGGAAACAAGTTGCTCGCTCTTGGCCATTTCTGCACCTGGACTGCTGGTCACGTGGCCTCACAGATCCGGGTGAACGAGGCCCTGTGCAGAGTCCCCTGGGGAGGACAGGCTGTGGGGAGCGGGTCTGGCCTCCAAGCCCCGTGTCTGGTTTCAGGGTGACCATGTATGACTACCAGGCCATGTGCAGGCCCACGAGTCACCACCACAGCGCCTCCCAGCCCCTGGTCAGCGTGAGTGTCGCCCCAGACCGTCCCCACCGACACAAGCCCTCGGTCCCTGTTCTCTCGCCGGGCTCGCTCTGTCCTCTCCCCCCGCATCCACACTTGGCCGGCTCCCACCCCAGGGGCCTGGTCTTGGGAGCTTCGGGACAGTTTCTCTGGCATGGAAAGCGGGCTGTGGCCCCTTTCTGGCTTCGCCCCCTCATCCCCTGGTCCACAGATACCAGCAACCCCGGAGACATCACCCCGTGTGGTGATGGGCGTGGCCTGCCCCTGCAGTGGGAATTTGATGCCTCTACCGCTGGAAAGGGGTCCCCAGGAGCCCAGGCCTGGGGTTAACACTGTCTCCTCCCCTGCCAGCCCCTCTCTGCCCTCCTGACCGCTGCCAGGTGGCTGGTGAATGAGCTGCTGCTGTGAGTGAGCGGCTGGGGAACTCCTGCGGGGCTGGCTTAGGAGGGAGCCCTTTGAGGGGAGCTGCCCGAGGTCCCTGCGACCCGGGAGGAGGAGGGCGAGGTCCTTGGGTGGAACTGGCCAGGCGTGCGGGTGCACCCTCCCTACACGTGACGACACGGGGGGCCTCTCTGCTCACCAGGGCCTCCAGCAGCAACAGGGGTGTCCTGAGAGAGGGGTGGGCAGCGTGGTTCCATGCTCTGGGCCCAGTGCGGGGATGGGGGAGGGGGCCAGCTGGTCTCTGAGCTCCTTTCTATCTGACAGGTTCCTGCTGGAGTGGAGCGCCTGGGGCTCCTGGCGGGCAGACAGCGGAGCCGAGGGTGAGTGCCTACCCTGTGTGGGGGGGATGGGTTCCGGGGGGCCCACTGCTCACATCCACCCTGCCGGCCTTCTCTCGTCACCTTTCCCTCGCCTCTGGGACACCACGCCATCTGGGACATGTCTGCCCTCTGACATCTTGTGTGACCTCGTCCGCCCCTGTGACATCATCTTGTGTGATATTGTTCACCCCACGTCATCCTGACCCCGTGTGACATCACAACCCCATGCCATCCTGACCCCGTGTGACATCACGCCCACCCCGTGCCTGGCCGCGGGTCCTGGGCAGCCAAGACCGTCTTCCATCACGGTAAGTAGGGTGGCGGGGCGGCCCCGGGGGTGGGCCGGCCGCTGTCCCAGGAGCGCATCCAAGGAGGCGAGCTTGCTCCGTCTCAGGACGCTCCTGACTCAGAAGGCCCCTCCCAGCTTAAAGCTCGTTCCCAGGGGGTGGGCACGTCACCCAGATCTGTCCCACACAAGTGCAGTCCTTGCTCTCCTTGGGTAAGGGCCCTCAAGGCCTGAGGAGGACGGGGTGGTGGGGTCCAGAGGCCGTGGCCCCCAGGTCTCCTTAAGGAGCAGGAGACAGTGGGCCCCCAGCTCAGGTGCCCACCGTGCCCCCCAGGTGCTCAGTCGGGGGCAGCAGGTAGAGGCCCCGTGACCTGGAGGCTGAGGCCAGCGTCCTCCAAAGACCTGACATAAATTGAAAAAAACGTCCTCCCTGCCAGCAGCTGGGACACTGGGGGAAACCGATCCCCTCCACCCGGGGCCTGGGGCGCCCCTCCCGCCCTGGACTCCCCCCACCTCCCACGGGCTCCCGCGCTCTGCAGCTGCCTGGCTGTGGCCTGGCCCAGCGTTTCTGCTCCCCTGCCCCCAAGTCCTGACTCTGACCGGGGAGCCACGTGCCAGTGGACCGGGCCGCTTCACTCAGGCATAGTGACCGCACTGCCCGAGGGGCCCTCCCCAACGCACGGCCCTGCCGCCTCCCCGCAGCCCACAAGCACAAGAAGCAGGGCGTGCTGCAGCCGTGCGACACCGCCTACCCCGTGTTCGTGCACCAGACGGCCATCCGGGAGGCCAACGGCATCGTCGAGTGCGGGGCCTGCCAGAAGTGAGTGGGGGCGGGGGGGGTCCGCGACGGGGAGGACGGGGGAGAGGGGGGGTCCGGCGACGGGGGAGGGGCGGGGGGAGGAGGGGGGGGTCCGGCGACGGGGGAGGGGCGGGGGAGGAGGGGGCAGTCCGGCAC